TTATGAAAAATTATTTATTTCTAGATGGCAATAGCTCAAGCTGCAGCCCACGAAGCAGAAAAAGTAATACAATCAAAGGAGAAAAACATGGACGAAAAGGAAAAAATAAAAGAACAAGAAACGAAAGAAATAAGAAAAGAGGAAGAAGCGAAAGAAGAAACAAGACGAAATACAGAAAGACGGAGGGAAGCGGAACGAGTACGCGCGGAAAGCGTATATCCGCTTTCCAGAAATAAAGTAAGTAATGTGTTCAGCTAAATTATGTATTCGCCATAAATTATTATAACTAACACATTGAAGTGTCAAGTGTGTGTGAACGAATTCGTAAAGAGTTGTTGACACAAAATGTATAATAAAAATTTTGAAATTTTTATTTTTCTGTTTCAGATTAGAAAAATGATAAAACGCCTCTTGAAACACGATCGACGAAGTCGTGGCCGCGGTCGCGGCCAATAGGTCAGTGCGGTAAGGCAAGTACGGTCAAGAGATATGAACATAGACGCGAAAAAAGCGAGAGAGAAAATAAGAGAAGGAGAGCGTATTTTGCAGAGCATACTATGATGTAATATTCCTACCCGTAATGAGAGATGGTGGTGGAACTGAGGGACAGTGGTGGGATGCATAATTGCGAATCGCGGAATTGATCGTCGATCCAGCAATTGGAAATTGATTATGGACGGCGTGATACGCATAAGCGAAGGAATTGAAAAAGTAAGTAATTTGCGTATAATGACATGTGTACGGTGTCTTACTAGTATTAGTTACATTACATTATGAAAAATTATTTATTTCTAGATGGCAATAGCTCAAGCTGCAGCTGAAGCAGAAAAAATAATGCAATTAAAGGAGAAAAAGATGGACGAAAAGGAAAAAAGAGAAGAACAAGAAAGGAAAGAAAGAAAAAAAGAGGAAGAAGCGAAAGAAGAAACAGAACGAAATGCAGAAAGACGGAGGGAAGTACGAGTACGCGCGGAAAGCGAATATCCGCTTTCCAAAAATAAAGTAAGTAATGTGTTCAGCTAAATTATGTATTTGCCATAAATTATTATAACTAACACATTGAAGTGTCAAGTGTGTGTGAACGAATTCGTAAAGAGTTGTTGACACAAAATGTATAATAAAAATTTTGAAATTTTTATTTTTCTGTTTCAGATTAGAAAAATAATAAAACGCCTCTTGCGACCTGATCGACGAAGTCGTGGCCGCGGTCGCGGCCGCGGAGGAGAAACTTCATCAGGATGGCGGCGAGGCGGCCACTCCGGGTGGCGGCGAGGTGGCCGCGGAGGCCACTCCGGACGGCACCGTGGCGGCCGCGGAGGTGTAAACAAAAACTTTTTCATAATAAACCAGAATAGATAAATGTATTTCGAATATAATTACAGTTATAATATATAAAAATAAAACATTTAAAATAAAGAAATGCCTCCATTTATTAATCACCGAATCATTCATTCTTTTCACGCTCAATTCATACCAATTATACCGCCAACTTCATTCTCTCTTTCAGCATCCTCGCCTTCCCCACTCCGTGGCCACATCCATAATGAACATCGTTCCCATTCATAAATCGTTGGAAAACGAAATAGCGACGGCTAATTGACTCCAACGATTTTACAAAATGCATTGGAGAATGCTAACATACATTTAGTATCCTTCCCTCAGTTTCCTCAAATTCCACTCCAAATTCATGTTTTTTAGTTATGAAAAATATATGGAATATATTCAAAACTAGTCTACTCGAAAATTCGCGATGTCTCGCTGTCGCCCTTCCGCACCGCACCACTCTCCCCGAGGCCATCGAGGCGGGAAGTACACAAACGGAAGGGAAGCGCGTCGTTATACGTTCCTATCGGAGGAGGACGCCGCTCCGGGTGGCGGCGTGGAGGCCGCGGAGGAAACCACCCCGGGTGGCGGCGCGGCGGTATGAATAAAAACTACTTCATCATTAATCAAAACAGATAACTTATTGTAATCATAAATATATAATTATAAATAAAATTATTGTATAACCAAATAAAATATTTAAAATAAAGAAGCTTTACATGTCTCGATCACGGGCAAATTGGGAATTTTTGGACTAGATTGAATAGGCAAAATAAGTCAAAAACCGAAATTTTGTTTTTCCCTTTTTACTGCCCCCATGGTTGAAATAAAGGGTTGAAACTTGATGTAAGATGTCTTTTTTTGATATGCTATCGACTGTCGTTTTGGGTATTTCATTTGGCTCAAGTGCATTTTTCATCATCCCCTTCCTCTTTCTTCGAGTCGCGCTTGCTAGGATTAGAAAGAGCTAGCTTGGCTCGAGCCTGTATTTCTAAAATTTGCTTGACATCTAAAAATAGATTGATAGATATGGCAACGGCGTAATAATCCGGCAACGATGCCTTCGCGTCCTTTGTCTGTCAAAAGTTGGTTGGTAATAGGAATAGGAATAGGTGGCTAATAGAGATTAGATATATTTGTAGATCTAGTCGATAGATGACGCAACGCGAGTTGTCTAAGTTATAGATTGTTTATTTCTAGTATTCTCCACTCATAGATATCGTCGCTTCGATCGATTCGGAGATAAGCCAGAACGGGATCCTGCCCTTAATATTTGCTGATCCTTTATACTGTTTAATGTTTTGATTTTTAATATTTTTATGATTAGATCCTGATGAAATATTGATTTGACTTTGGTTAGTATCCCTCCTACCTACAGGAGAATCAACTAGTTTAATTTTCGCTACTGAAATGGACTGATTTAACTGTTCATCTTCCATTTTCTGTTGTGATTTTGTTACTTCCACTACTTTAGCAGTGGTTGTGGGTTTGGTATCACTTTTATGAGGAGATTCCATAATAATATTCTTCGAAATGTTCAATGTATTTGTGACGTGGTATTTTATACCCGTCACAAGGATCCTCCTCGGGGGACCGGACAGTCATTGCATTAGGGGCAAAAACCGTCTAGAGAGAGAACAAAGCGTATATAATATATCGCTCTGTCGCCGCTTTATTTTGTATGTACCATCGGATAACGACGTCAACACCAGCGAAGGAACAGCGTACGCCAAGGGAACGCACCGCTACCCCGCCGCTACCCCGCTCGGATCCAGCAATAGACCAAGAGAGGCAGCGGAGTAAGGGGAGGAAGGTCTGCGAGAGAGCGACGTACGCCTAAGGAAGGTTCTGCTACCCTGCCGCTTCCCCGCTACGGACCTGTGATAGAGGAAGGTAGAGGACGAGAGATCGCGGAGCAAGAGGAGGTCCTGCCGAAGATGCCTTCGCGAGAAGACGGAAACTTCGGCCTAGGGTGGGGGTGATCACGAGATGTCCGAATACCGGCATAAGGGCACGCGCTTTAGCATTCTGTATTCGGCATTTGCCCTGTTACATTGAAAGATAGAGTTCGTTGTACAATCTTCCGCTGCCGCCTGCCAAAGCCGCCGTAAAGGACATCTCGGTAAGCCCCTCATCTTATATCGTTGTAAAGAATTCGAAATCGAGAATAACGTACCGTGGGTTGTCGATCACCGGACGTGCCAATCACCGGCCGATTCTGCAAAATGTGGCCGGAGTGTCGGCATTGAGCGTTAATTAGTAATTAGATTAAGTAATTTGGGAAATTCCGGAAGTATCGTGAAATAGGAAGATCGCTTCTCTATCTTCCTATAAGCCACGCTCGGCAGGTCACTGAACCGGACCTGGAGGATTGGTACCGCGTAAGTCACAATTTAGTTTCTTAGTCTCGCGAAAGCGTTGCAAATATTGTGCCCACCCACGTCTCGATTTCGAATTCTCATTTTCGCGGGAGCAGATCGGAATGTGCATGTTTTGTCGTATCGGACATTTCGTAGTTTGTCGCGCTAGTTCTCGCCTTCTCTCTCTAGACGGTCGTCGATACAGAATCGATTCGTGCGTAAGAATAAGTCGCGTCGCGTTTAAATTAATTGCGTTAGTTTCCGTGCGTTTAGAATATTTGCGTTTCGTCGCGTTAGATTGCGTTAGGATAATTGCGCCGCGTTTCGTTAGCTATTAGAGTTGCGTATAGATAATTGCGTCGCGTATCATTCCGGAAATCGACGACTGTATCGCGCTCAGTCGTATCAATTGGCATTAGATCCCGTTTCCGGGATTAGAATCACGTGATTTTCGGACATCGGTCAATCGCTAAGCAGTAACGAGCGAAGTGGTTGTCGGTACGGGATCATACTGTTCATCACCTAGATTAATTAGATTTAAATAAACAGCGCTGCTTTTAACGAATATTGCTGAGTCGAGGCCTCTTACGAATTATCCCGGGATGTTTCCTCGGATCCGCCTCCGCGTCTAGCCTTCTTACCCTGTACGAATCACGCCACTCTACCATCGCGTACGGATACTGAGCTACCGAGCCGTTCCGCCGCCGGTTCGAGTCTCTCGCGTTAAAGTTCCTTATCGCGACGCGGAAACGC